TCTCACTTTGGCTCAGGCTGGTCTCAAACTTGTGAGCTCAGGCAATCCACCCACCACAGCCAAGAGTGCTAGGATTACAGGCGTGAGCCACCCTGCCCGGGCTAAAGCAGAGTTTATTTAAAGTGAAGAAAACAAGTATAGGTAAGCATAGACTTTTCCAGGAGAGTGGAAAAGGGGCCCCCTTGCAAGTGAAAGGAGATACCACACAAAGGCAGTGCACTAATGTAAGTACTTTCATCCCAATTCCTCCAGTAAGAGGAATGCTTAAGCATCTGTAAGAATTCCCATTGGTGCCCCTTAGATCTTTGAGCGTGCTGTCCTCGAGTTTCATTGGCTGTGGATTACCTCAGTTGTCACATAAATCCAATATTTTTTACTCTGTGTCAATAGTTACTAAGTGTTATTTTACAAGTGACGGCATCTGTTAGTCTTATGATGTTCTTGGCAATTATGATGTGCATTGTTCTATGACAGAGATCCTTATCTTTGTTTGATGGGGAGATCCTTATCTCTGTTTGGGGGGCGGGGATCATTCACAGGCTTGAGGTCAGATATCTCGGGCTGGAAGTTATATTTTGCAGGAACGGCACCTACTTGGTTAACTAAGTCACACACACCTCAAATTCCTTGTTCCAGGGCCCTTTATAACTCTGTTGTACAGAAGGCCATAATTCTCTCCATCTACCTGTAGCCCCTTTAACCTCCTTCATCCCTAATCAATATCCAAAACAATTATTGAGCTATTTCAAAGAGTTAAAGATTTTGAATAGTTAATATAAATCTTAAGGAGGGGATTATTAGCTAAGTAACTTTAGGAAGAAAATTTATAAACCTTGGAGCTTCCAAACTGGTATAAGGTTTGCCTGCATGTGACCGAAAACCCAAATCAGAGTGGCTTAAACACAAGAGATTATTTCTCTCTCCTACAAGACTGACTATAAGAAATCCCCACACACAGCTTCACTCCTTCCTCGCCGCTCTATCATCCGCAGCGCACAGCTTTCACTTGGGGTTCAGGGTGGCTGCTCAAGCTCCAGTGACCTTGTCTGAAATCCAGCCAGCAGAATGGGTCAAGAGTGGGTACAATGGCACCAGCTGCCCTTCAGAATACGTCCTCTTACATGCCATTGGCCAGGACTTAGGCACACAAACCCCTGTTTGCAAGAGAGGTTGCATGACTCTTTGCAGTCATGTGCGTATCTAAAAACCAGGAGTTCTATGAATAAGGAAGGGGAGGAGAGCTGATATTGAGGGGCAACCAGCAGCCTCTCTCACGGGCCTTAATTAGTACTCTTTGAAAGAATAATAAATTAAGAAATGAGTTGATACTGGTAGAAATCCAGACTCGCTACAACAGGAGGAAAAGGATTGAATTTTACAATCCTGATTCTGCTGCTTACTAGGAATGTGGCTTATAGAGCCTCATACCTACCAGGTTATGAAGGATATGGTCAGAAGCCAAAAAAAAAAAAAACCCTACCAGAGTGAGAAAATGTATATAAAAAGATTACTTGGCACAGCTAGGGACATTGGTAAGAGCTTAGCAAATGTTAGTTCCACCCCTCCCTCCTGCAAAGCTAAGGTCCAGATGCTGGACTAGGGTAACTCTCGCCTACACCTCTCTCTGTGACTACCTGGAAGACCTCTGCAGAGATCTATAAGGAGCACCAGCAGTGGGCACCAGTGGATGATGGTTAAGCTGATAAGAGAGATGGTAAATCACCTCTCCCACTGCAAAATGAAATCTATGTAAGTGAGACAAGAATTATTAAAAGACTGGTTGGCATGTTATTTTACATTTCTTATCTCAAAACAGTGGTATTATTAGGCCTATTTGACTGATGAGGAAACTGATCTGAATACAGAAATGTGCTCATACAGCCAGCAAGTGACAAAGCAGGGCCAGGTGCCTGAGCAACCTGACTTCAGAGCCTGTGTCTGTGACCACCATGCTCCACCGACTCCCTGTCTTGCTCGTGTGGTTGTGAGCATCCCTGGGGAAGGGCAGGACAGGGCCCTATTTCATCTGTCTGCGTTCTGGGAACTTGCCCAAGGTATCCCTTCATACCTGACATCTTTCTAGCACTGTGGCTTAAAAACCTTCCAGGTAAGAAATCCCTTTATGTATCTCTTTAGCATCTCCTCTTCCCTCAGTTGCAGGGTCAACCTCTGCGACCACAGAAACTGCATCCAGAGCATCACAGTACTCCTGTGTATGTAATCCAGGGAAATGGTTATAAGCATGGACCCACCAGTCTCCATTTACCCCCTCCTCATAATCTGAATGCAAGGCTCCTCCACTCTTCATATTACAGGTGCATCAGGAGAATTCTCTTCCCCTCTTGGCTGGAGAGACGTGAGCAGTTATCAGGGACTTTACCCAGATACTACATTCTCCAAGCCATTCTGAAAAGACACTAAAGCAGAAGTGACACTCTCAGCCTTGCTGCAGAGAGAAGACAGGGAGACACACAGTTGAGGGGGGCTGCACCCAAAGAAGAGACACACGTCATGTTTTCTTAAATGACTTTAATTGGAAACTCAAACACTGTAAGCCATAGTCCACCTGGCTTTGTGAGACAGCATCTGGTTTCCAATGGGGTCAAGGATAAATGCATAATTGAAGTTGAGATAGGGAGCCTTCATCTCCCTGGTCTCCTATTCTAAACTTATTCAAATTATGGATGCTGGATAGACCTTAAAATAATTCTGCTAATTCACTAAACTATAGGCTCCTTTCTTCTTCTGATGCTAAAGAGTTCCTGTGAGGCGAACTCTTTCAAAACACTTTTTGAAATCAAAACCTAAGTCTATAACTGCACTAAACATCCACAAGTGGGAAGGCTCCTGATGCAGATACTAAGCTTGCTGTAAAATCACTCAGGTCCAAAGAAGGCCACCCCACCCCAGCCCACTTCCTGCACCAATCCATTACCCTTCTCTGTCCAGTGTAAGAGTTCTCTCAGCCTCTGTTCTAAGGGAATCTAACTCTAGAAAAGACCAAAGGCCTACTGCTTGATTTCTGTGGCCTGACGTGTTTGAGGCCCCCAACATAGGGCTGAACTGTAGTTTGCAGAGCTGTGTACAATAACAGCCATTATAGTAATCTTGAGTTTCTATCAGCCGTTCTTCCTAAGAACAATCAACAACAACTTCCCCATCATAATATCACCAGGTTTGCCCTCTCACCAACCCCCCAAAGGGGAAAGAGATCATACCCCTTCCCTTTACATGATAGCGAAGCATGAGGCCTGATGAGGTCAAAGGACCTGCTTGTGATTCCACCATAACTCAGGGCAAAGAGCTTGAGAAGGAGTCCACCTTCTCTGCCTGGACTCTTTCTTAGTCTATGTTACCAAAATAGCTAAAGGACAAAGATTTGACCGTTTCCTGTATTTTCTTTCTGATTTATACCTTTTTTCTTTCTCATATGGGCATTTTAGTTTTTGAGAATCCCTCTCATGGCTCGGTGCCTATAGCTCAACCGGCTAAGGCGCCAGCCACGTACACCTAAGGTGGCGGGTTCGAATCCCCAGCCTGGCCCGCCAAACAACAATGACGGCTGCAACCAAAAAAT